TTCCAATCAGGCCCGAACGTACCTTGCCAGAGTGCTCAAACTGACAAGTCAGTGAGCTCTGCATAACGCAAATAGCAAAGGCACTACCCCACGCAAGAGTGCTCAACTGCTACAAGAGCAGGAGCGAAATACTCAATCTGCGGACAGAACTGTTTCGTCCTTTGTGGACTCGTCAGCGCAGCACAGAGGAAATGAGGCCGAACCTGATAGCTATGGAAATAAAAATTTCCAATCAGGCCCGAACGTACCTTGCCAGAGTGCTCAAACTGACAAGTCAGTGAGCTCTGCATAACGCAAACAGCAAAGGCACTACCCCACGCAAGAGTGCTCAACTGCTACAAGAGCAGGAGCGAAATACTCAATCTGCGGACAGAACTGTTTCGTCCTTTGTGGACTCGTCCGCGCAGCACAGAGGAAATGAGGCCGAACCTAATAGCAATGGAAATAAAAATTTCCAATCAGGCCCGAACGTACCTTGCCAGAGTGCTCAAACTGACAAGTCAGTGAGCTCTGCATAACGCAAACAGCAAAGGCACTACCCCACGCAAGAGTGCTCAACTGCTACAAGAGCAGGAGCGAAATACTCAATCTGCGGACAGAACTGTTTCGTCCTTTGTGGACTCGTCAGCGCAGCACAGAGGAAATGAGGCCGAACCTGATAGCAATGGAAATAAAAATTTCCAATCAGGCCCGAACGTACCTTGCCAGAGTGCTCAAACTGACAAGTCAGTGAGCTCTGCATAACGCAAACAGCAAAGGCACTACCCCACGCAAGAGTGCTCAACTGCTACAAGAGCAGGAGCGAAATACTCAATCTGCGGACAGAACTGTTTCGTCCTTTGTGGACTCGTCAGCGCAGCACAGAGGAAATGAGACCGAACCTGATAGCAATGGAAATAAAAATTTCCAATCAGGCCCGAACGTACCTTGCCAGAGTGCTCAAACTGACAAGTCAGTGAGCTCTGCATAACGCAAACAGCAAAGGCACTACCCCACGCAAGAGTGCTCAACTGCTACACGAGCAGGAGCGAAATACTCAATCTGCGGACAGAACTGTTTCGTCCTTTGTGGACTCGTCAGCGCAGCACGGAGGAAATGAGGCCGAACCTGATAGCAATGGAAATAAAAATTTCCAATCAGGCTCGAACGTACCTTGCCAGAGTGTTCAAACTGACAAGTCAGTGAGCTCTGCATAACGCAAACAGCAAAGGCACTACCCCACGCAAGAGTGCTCAACTGCTACAAGAGCAGGAGCGAAATACTCAATCTGCGGACAGAACTGTTTCGTCCTTTGTGGACTCGTCAGCGCAGCACAGAGGAAATGAGGCCGAACCTGATAGCAATGGAAATAAAAATTTCCAATCAGGCCCGAACGTACCTTGCCAGAGTGCTCAAACTGACAAGTCAGTGAGCTCTGCATAACGCAAACAGCAAAGGCACTACCCCACGCAAGAGTGCTCAACTGCTACAAGAGCAGGAGCGAAATACTCAATCTGCGGACAGAACTGTTTCGTCCTTTGTGGACTCGTCAGCGCAGCACAGAGGAAATGAGACCGAACCTGATAGCAATGGAAATAAAAATTTCCAATCAGGCCCGAACGTACCTTGCCAGAGTGCTCAAACTGACAAGTCAGTGAGCTCTGCATAACGCAAACAGCAAAGGCACTACCCCAGGCAAGAGTGCTCAACTGCTACACGAGCAGGAGCGAAATACTCAATCTGCGGACAGAACTGTTTCGTCCTTTGTGGACTCGTCAGCGCAGCACAGAGGAAATGAGGCCGAACCTGATAGCAATGGAAATAAAAATTTCCAATCAGACCCGAACGTACCTTGCCAGAGTGCTCAAACTGACAAGTCAGTGAGCTCTGCATAACGCAAACAGCAAAGGCACTACCCCACGCAAGAGTGCTCAACTGCTACAAGAGCAGGAGCGAAATACTCAATCTGCGGACAGAACTGTTTCGTCCTTTGTGGACTCGTCAGCGCAGCACAGAGGAAATGAGGCCAAACCTGATAGCAATGGAAATAAAAATTTCCAATCAGGCCCGAACGTACCTTGCCAGAATGCTCAAACTGACAAGTCAGTGAGCTCTGCATAACGCAAACAGCAAAGGCACTACCCCACGCAAGAGTGCTCAACTGCTACAAGAGCAGGAGCGAAATACTCAATCTGTGGACAGAACTGTTTCGTCCTTCGTGGACTCGTCCGCGCAGCACAGAGGAAATGAGGCCGAACCTAATAGCAATGGAAATAAAAATTTCCAATCAGGCCCGAACGTACCTTGCCAGAGTGCTCAAACTGACAAGTCAGTGAGCTCTGCATAACGCAAACAGCAAAGGCACTACCCCACGCAAGAGTGCTCAACTGCTACAAGAGCTCTCTTGTTTTTTAGATATATTTTTCTTTACCAGTCCGTGTTTTCGCACCGCAGCGTTCGAGACTGAACTTCTTGAGCTTCCATACCTTCGATTTATACTTGCAAGTATAGCTTTCAGCCAAAGACCAACTCTACGAAGGATGAGAATGAAAAGATCAGTGAAACGCAATGGCTGCAAAGGCGGCGTGAAAGGTGACATGTGAATGTGCTAACGTTTTGCGCAAGGCGCGTGAGGTCCAGCAGTGCAGCGTGCAACAGTGCATGGAAGTAGGTGTAAACAGTAGCAGCCTAATTACCAAAATTCAAGCAGAGAAAGATGCTATAATATCACCTCATTCCCCCTCGGCTTGTGTGCGACTTTGGAGCACTAACACAAACAAATCCTGAAATTGATATTCGAAATAGCTGGGTAGCACACACGCAACAAGGAAAAAGCAGAAAGGCATGCCCAGTCAATCTATGCACGGGGCAGGAGGAACCATCTGTCCCGCCAGAAGCTGGACCCAGTTACCGTCTGCACCGTGTAGCTCCGTCCTCTTAAAGTGCATCTTGTTACCGTTCCTTCCATTATACAAGCGTTTTGAAGACCTGCCCTGGATCAATACCTTATCGCCTACGTGCAGAGGGGGCAGAGGTTTGCCTAGCCGGGATGAGACCTGTTGGGGAGCGCTGCGGCAGTGGGCAGCGTACTGCTGCAGATTTGCAGGGAGAGAGGGAACTTCCGCCCTCGTTGGCCTTCGAAACAGCAGGTGGGCCAGGCTTGTCCTACTGCACTCGGCGTGCTACGCCATTCCAGGAATCCTTCCCTGAAGGCACTGATGTTATAGGCGTCTCCTTTGCCGATTTTCATAAGCAATTGCTTCATGGCCTTGACCGCCGCCTCAGCCGCACCATTCCACTGAGAAATGAATCACTCTCTGCTTGATGAATTTACTGTTTTTGTGGGTCATTCACATCTCAATAATTGAGTTGGATGGGGAAATGATATACTAATAAGATACTATTCAAGAACCACCACTAGTTATACAAACTTAATATAGCACTAGTTTCAAGCGTAGTAAACACCTGGCAAACTCCGAAATGCTAAGTAAGACTGTGTGGTTCATGGAAGTGCAGAGCAATTACAGTGGCATGTTGGCAATTCCCTGCTTTGTAGCCTCCCAAAAGGTTAGGGGATAAGCCTGCGCCGTGGACAACAGTGCAAAGATGTGGGTCTAGCTACTTCGGTTATGTGATTATTGATTATTAGAGAGGTTTCGACCCGCGTGATTGGTGCTCTTACGTGAACGTCAATTTTTTGCGTCGACGCGAGCTCAGAAAGAGCTTTCGTTTCACGTTGCTTGTGAAGCACGTCGTTTCGCTGACGACAGGAGCGAAAACTGGGGGCGAAAATTTCAAAAAGTGAAAAAAAGTGATTTTTGGTGAGGCCAAAGTCGCACAAATATTATTTATAGCTAGTTTAGGCAAAATCGACAAATCGAGTCAATAATCCCAACCTGATAGCAAGGCTAAATTTGCAAAAACTCGCGTCACGTCGAACGTGAGTTGACCTCAGCTCACGTCATGAACGGGAGTTTCGACGCCAAAATTTGCCACACCGACGTGAAATTTCACGGTGTAGTGCAGAACAACGTGAAGCGAAACCTCTCTATTGTCTTGGTATCACTCTAACCAACATTGCAAACTTCACTCTGAATAACTTGCATGTCCTCAACGATTGCTTGTGAAATGCGAAAGACAAGGATGTGTGTGTGTGTATGGGGGGGGGGGTGGTTGTGGGTGATAAGTTACAAAGGCAGGAAAATTGTTAGCGCAAAAAGAAGGATGAGCTGAAATGACGTTGGTCGAATGTGCCTTCAGCTCAGCATTAACACAGGCATGATTGTGTGATATGGGAACTGTTTTCGGTTTGCGGAGTAAATTTAGCATTGCTGTCTAGCAATCTGGAACTCACATTTTTCGCTTTTTTGGACATTTCTTTTAATATCTATGTTGGTTTTCGCACCTACGCCCGACGTGTTTAATTTCTTGTTCTACACTAGCACGGATTTGTGTGAACCCTTGTGGTTCTCTCAATTGTCAGGATCGAACGACCACACGGTACGAGGACAACTACTTTCTATTCTTTAGACCATTAATCTCCCCAAAAATTCTACGCCATTACCCAAAACTCTTGCGAACCTTTCAGCCTGGTGGAAATGTCTCGCCACGTTGTGTCTGCCCTGGTAGAGCAGTACATTCATCACCAGAACAGTTATCCAGTTTAACTCTTACCACTCATCTACATTTATTCCAATAGTATAAGAATACTTTAACGTCAGCTTTCAGTGTTGTAAATATCTGTGAGGAGATTTAGTTGTACAGTTACCCTGACTTCTATGTTCTTTTTCGACTTTAGCACAACTACTAGTATTTCTCAGTGCCTGCTGAGAGGACACAATCAACAATCAACACGTCCATTCTTTCTATCGCGTTAAACAATCCCTGCCAGCCAGCCTATTGGTGCTGTTTGTTGTCGACCACAATCTAACCAAACCAGAATCTGTACTCAGCAAGAACATCGCCGTGGGACATCGTATGTTGCAAGCAGTACTGCTATCGGTGAATCCATAGACGGATAAATGGCGGAATTTACCGGCTCTCGATCGATCAAAGCTACTGCGTCTGCCGCGATGCACGGATATCACGTGTGTGAGTGGCGTGTGGACAACGATGATGGTAGTGTTTGTGATGAGCGCTGCACTACTGTTGAAGACCTTGCCGTTCACATCAAGAAAGAACACCTGACGGCGAGAAAACGTCACAGCATGCAGCAGGAAACTAGCTATAAATGCCAATGGCAGAAGTGTGATCACAAGGCATACAAGAACAAAGAGTCACTTGTTATACACATCCGACAGCACACCGGTGAGCGCCCCTTGAAATGCGATTATCAAGGCTGCGAAATGGCATTTGCTCATCGCACGTCTCTCAGTGACCACAAAGTAACGCACACAGACACATATCTCAAATGTCCTAACCCTGGTTGTTCCAAACAATATAAGCACGCGGGTTCAGTGAGGAGACACCTACAACTTTGTCATGCTAGCCATAACAATGCTGCAGTGGCCAATGTGGCAGATGATCATCATGACGATGAATCTGAAGGCAGTGACGAGGATATGGATAATACACCTTCTCCAACCAGTTCTCAGTGAATCCAGGATCCCCAACGAGAGAAAGTGAGGGTTCATCATTCTCCATATCTGATGAGTGAGAGCCTGAGGTGTGTTCTAACTCTCCATCATGAGGTAGTGAGAGTACATCGAAGACTGAGAACGAGTCTCTGGCACTTTCAACAGCTGTTACAGCAGAGACCTCACCAGTAGGAACACCTATCAAGGCCAAGGGACAAGCTTCAGAAGCAGATGATGCATCCGCGCAACCACTAGAGCAGCATATGCCAGCACCGTCATCACCACAGCATCAGCAGCAGCCGCTTTCACGGACACCAAAATCCCAGCAATCCGCGCTTAACAAACGGCCTTACCCCCGCGACCAACATCATTAGACTGAGAAGCAGAAATATGATACAAAGCGATGTAAACTTTGTATCTGGCTTCACCACTGAGAAGTATTCCAAAACAAAACAGCTCACTCTTCTGTGCGTGATCGTCGACTCCCTGAAGGCTGATTGGCTGCAGCTTAGTCCCACCGTTCACATCCTGATCAATGTTCTGCCCTCCACTGAATACACACAGCTAGCACTCACAATAAATCCGCGTAATGAGACATAAGTTGATAAGTGAAATTTTAAATAGCTGGTTAATTGCTACTGTTTGCTAGCCCATAATAATAAACGACCTTCAGTTTGCCTCACCGATAGGCATTCGGATGAAAAGATCAAAATTTACACATACATTGTATGACTGTCTTGCTCGTCCTATTCCTGTCTTTTCTTGAAGTGTGTCTCAGATCTAGTTTTTAAAGATTTGTTTCTGTTTTTAAACAGGTTCTATACTTTCACTAGCGTAACACGTCAATGCGGAATTCGTTGTCATTATATTTATGGCGTCCGCTGAGTCTCCTGTAACCATGGTCACCTAACGGAATTTGGTAGCCTACATGTTTGCTGTGTCCCTCTTGTAGTCATAATCATGTTATGTCTTACGTTTGTTTGTCATGATCCTGAAGAGCTGTGTTCGTACAGACAACGTCTTCATATTTTTAGTGGGAAGCAAATTGGCGGTGGGACTAGAGTTCCGACTCATCCCAGCTCCACAAATTGACAGTAACTGGATTTCTAGGTGGTTATTTTGGCTGTTGCGTCATTAGGATGCGTGGCACGTTTTGCGGGCTTACTTTGTAGGGACGACTTTGTCAATAATTATTTCCTGCAACTTGACCTGGACTGTTGTTGGGGAGATTAAAAAAATAATCACAAATTTTCTTTTAACAAACCGTCTACCTCTCCACACTGCGCTCTTCGCCCACCTTCACAACACCACGTATGCGAAATGAACTATGAATCGGCATTTAGGCCGTGTTTACACGACAAGGGACGGCCAGTTTTCCGTTTTCAGTCTCGCATTTCTTTTTTCGTTTTCGTACGTGTACACGACCAAAGCTGATCCGGGCCGCGGGGCGGTCACCGTTTGTATCGTTTTCGCGCATCTACGCAGGAGCCAAGGATCCACCAAAGCACGCCATGTGCCAAGTGTTATCGTGGAAGCACCAGTCACACTCAACGTATAGTTGAAATCAAATCACAACACAGCACTCCTCACATGATAAGCATTGTTAAAATAATTGTTTTGATTGTCAGATACATCGGATTCGCGTGTACGGGCAAAAACTAAAGAAATATTTCCAGCAGAACATTTCCGTTCCCAAATTCTTCCACTTTGGCCAGCGTTTTGGTTTCCTTCCGGTTTGGGTGTACAACCTTTACGTTTTCCTCCGCATACCGTGTGAATGAACCATCCATCCGAAAGAATGTTTTTGCGTTTTCACCCCCAGCGGTGTCATGTAAACGCGGCCTTACCACCGTTGCTACCTATCTAAATGGTCAGTGACAATCCTGCGGTGTGGAGAACCGTGCATTGTGATAATTATACTGATGGCCGTGGTACTTATGTGGACAACATTTTTCGAACTGCAATTAGAAGTGCTTACATTATCCTGAAAGGTGGGCAGTAACATATGGAAGGACAGGAACGGAAGGGGGGGGGGGGTAAATTTGTTTAAAGTACTGTGGCATACATTTGATTTCACGACAAGGAGGATGAGCTGAAGTGACATTGGTCTAATGTGACTTCAGCTCGTCCTTCTTGTTATGATATTGACAGCGCTAGTTTCCATGCCATTGTACGAATTTAATGCTTTATGAGCTTGAGGATATTGTGCTATACTACCACCGATGTAAATGAGGGTATATCATTGAGCTTCCACTCCAAGGATATGTGGATGTATCTACTGATCGTCTATGTCTAAGGTTGCGCTGTGGTCCTCCTCTTCTCTACATGGCTATCTTTCTATGTTCACAGTGCCACATTTGGATGCATCGCTTATCTAGTGACGTTGATTACACGTGAGAATGGAGGTCGCAACACAGCTTTCTCTATACTTTTTGTGTGAATGTTACAGATTGTTCTAAAGGGTGTGGAGATGCCCCCTTAGGCACTTCATTTCTCACACAGTTCTACACCACTCTTCAAAACGGTCCCGACCTGTTCGTCATGGTGGCCCTCTCTCACCAACTTACTGCAGTTTCAGTCGTGCACTATAATCACCTCCAGTTTCGACACTACATTCATACTTGTGCCAGTTATTTACCTTTGTTGCAATATTATATAATACACGACTTCTCAGTTAGCTGGTATTGTGATACTTTTCTTTGAGGAGTAGCAGTTGACCATTTCTCCTGAATTCTACTTAAGCTTTCGACATTTTTGTAAAACCACTTGACGGTGTTGACGTTGCCCTGTGTCTCAGTGATTGCTCTGAGAAAACCATCAACACGTCCATTATCCCTATCGCTTAACCCAGTCCCTACCAGTCTATTGGTGCTGATTGCTATCGACCACAACCCAACCATGAGCTGTATTCTGCAAGACACCTCTCTCGTGCACCCATCGTTGGGAGCAGCACTACCTGCTTTCTTTTCGCTTAAAGAGAAATAGCTGATCCTACCGACTCTAACCCGACGAATGCCTCTGCTGCCGCCACGATGAAGGGACATGCCGACGATGGTGAAAACCATGATCGTATAGTACCACAAGCAGCTGTAACGAACCATGTTTGTCAGGGGTGTGTGAGCAATGGTAAAGGAACTGTTTGCTATAAGGGCTTCGCAAGTGTGAAAGAGCTTGCAGCTCACACCGTTAATGAACACCTGCACAGCAGGGAGCAGCAAGCCAAGCCTAAATTCCAATGGCCGGGGTGTGGAACCAAGACATTCAAAGAAAAAATGAATCTTATTATGCACTTACGACAGCACACAGGTGAACGCACCTTTAAATGCAAGCATCACGGCTGTGGTAGAGCGTTCCGTCGTGCCCGACAATTGAAGGTCCATAAGGAAACGCACAAAGAGAGAAAATGCTTTGAATGTACTCAGCTCGGCTGTTCAAAAAAATACCTTTCCAAGAGGGCACTCTGGAAACACGGTGTACGGCGTCATCCTACCGATAGCAGTATTGAAGCGGCTAAAGCGGCCGGAGATCATCATGACCTTGAAGCCGAAGACACTGGATAATCATATAACGTCTCCATTTAGTTCACTTGAAGTGAATCCAAGAACACCAACGGGGAAATGCGAGGGTTCACCATTCTCTGTATGTAACAAATCAGATTCTGATGAATAGGCTAGTAGAATTCTGTTATTTATAGTGGAGAAACCGAAACAGGCAGACGCCTAATAACAATGGACCCACTCTGTAGGGTGGTGGAGGAGGGGGGAGACATGGCTAATGGTAAATAGAGCAGTTCCAGCACAGCTACAGAACCATGGGCGTAAAGCGATAAGCAAGCAAGCTCACGATCGTTCATTAGGTACTGAGAGCGCATCGAACACAGAACAGCTATTTCCACTTGCAGTTACCGCATCCGTTACAGCAGGAATATTATCAGTAGCATACACTGTCAACGCTACAGAGCAAGCACGGATGAGAGGTGCTTTTGGAGCAGATGCTAAATACTCGCTAACACCACGGAATCATCACCGCCACCGGCATAGCTGCACCACAGCCTCCACAACATCAGTACCCGCCACCACAACTACCGCAGCCGCAAGTTCCAAGACTCCCATGACAGAAGTTGCTCCCAGCCCCGACACCACCAGGGCAGGACCAGCACCCAGGTCTGTCACCACAGCCGCAGCAGCAGGACCATGGATTGGCACCACCTCAGCAGCAGTAGGATACTGGATGGCCGCCACCGCAGAAGCAGCACGCAGCCACACCACCACCGCAGAAGCAGCACGCAGCAACACCACCACCGCTGCACCGCAGCAGCATCACCCAACACAACCACCATGGCATCAGCAGCAATACCCAGGACCACCACCAACGCCGCCACCGCCACAGAAGCAGCAGCACCAGCAGCACCTCAGCACCGGAGTAGGCGCACCGCAGCAGCTGCACCAAACACTTCCACCACCATGGGAGCCGTAGTGCCAATCGCCTCTACTACCACCGAAGCAGCAGTGGCCGGCACCACCACCCCTGCAGCCTATCCCCGTAGCAGCAAGTCCGTGGCCCGAAACCATCCACTTTCGGAATGATGATAGACAGCAGCTTAATCTGCCGAAGCTTTATTACCACTCCAGCCACTAACACCAACATCGCAGCAATCTACGGCCAAGAAACAGCAACTCCCACAGTAACAGTTTTCCCCTGTTCTCTATAACTTTACACTCCCTCGCACCTCATGCGTCTAACGCTTGTCTATTAGCACCTTCATTGGCGCCATTGCCACATGTATACTATCACATTTTGCACATAACTGGTCGAGGCACACTCAACCAGGTGTCTTACTTTTTAAGTTTGATTAAACCTGTTACACTGGTAGCAGAGGATGGTTACTACTCTGCTTTTGGCAGGTGTTCTGGTCGCTCTGCTTTACGCTCCTCGTACTCGTCGTTCGGCTGATAAACGATATCAAGACCGCTCAGCGCGTTAGCCAAGGAAACCGAACGATACATCCGAACTCGGAACCGTGGGAGCCAACGAAAGCCTTAGGAAAGAGCCGCGTGTGTTTGGAGGAGATTCCGCTACATTCAAAGAATGGACGTTTGCAATGGACATGGCCCTACGGTCGTTGGGACTCCCAAATGCGGCACAGAGGGTCGACTACGCGGCAGGATTTTTGACTGGAAACGCTCGTCTTTGGTTGATAGCGGCATTGGAAGCTAACCAAGTGTTTTCTGACTGGCCTGCTCTGAAAGCGGCACTTGGCGATGTGTACGGACCACGGCACAACGAGGAAACATCGCGTACCGTGGAGCAGTCGTCAGGGCCACCGGCATCGGGGCCACCAGCCAGTAGAGAGTCGCGTTCCGTGCCCAGCTTCGTGGTCAGGGCCTCCGCAAGCTGACGGACCAAGAGCGTGTCCAACTGCGAGCAATGGGACCCTGCTTTGCTTGCAGGAAGCCAGGCCACCTCGCTAAAGACTGTAATGAGGGTGGACAGCGAAACCCACACGCTGGTCGCCAGTAAGAAAGGGGGTGCGCTTACTGGCGACGACCCAAGCACCCACGCCGGTACCAGTCGCTAACCGGTTCGGAGCTCTGGAGGTTGAAGACGTTGCTCTCCAGGAACCTACGGAGTCGGAGACACCCATAGCTGTAGGAAATTGTCCCGTTGCAGAATGGTGTCATGTCAGCAACGTCAGCGTCGGCAATGAACCTGAACACGACCTACTGCGCATACAGGGAAAGATCGGCGGTCGCCGTGCAGTGATGCTGATAGATTCCGGTTCGACGCATGACTTCATTGCAGACGGTTTTGTTCAAAGCATCATCTTGACACGGATGCAAGCTCAGAAATACTGAGCGTAACATTGGCGGACGGCTCGACCAGCGAGGTCCCGCAGATTTCCACACGCACGCTAAAGGTGACAGTCGGGGGCATCAGTGAGGAACAGCACTTTACTGTGTATCCCCTGACTCGCTACGACGCCATTCTTGGCAAGCCGTGGCTTACAAGGAACAACCCCAGCATCAACTTCCGTGCGAACGAAGTTCAGTTGGACGGTGAGCCCTTTGTTGCCAAATTGCCTTCAGCTAACCCGCCGACAGCCGACCGGCCATCTGTGGAAAGCATGTTTATCAGTGGCCGACAAGCTCGTCATGCCCTGAGGAGTGGAGCCTAGGGGTTTCTTGCATGGTTCACTGCTGCAAACGAGGAGAATCGTTCCGGGCCACAACTCCAGGAATCAGAGCAACAGGACATCCAGAACCTGCTCAAGAGGTACCAGGATTTATTTCCAGACGACCTGCCGAATGAGCTTCCACCGAAGAGACAAATCGACCATGAAATCCAGATAGAAGATGGAGCCAGACCACCGTCTCGACCCGCCTACCGCTTCCCGAAACCAGAGATGGACGAGCTCCAGTCACAGCTGTCAGAATTACTTGAGAAGGGATTCATTGAGCCAAGTAAGTCGCCATACGGTGCACCTGTGTTTTTTTGTGAAGAAGTCGGATGGTACTCTGAGAATGGTGTGCGATTGGCGAGAATTGAATAGAATTACGATCAAAAACAAAGCTTGACTTCCCAATGTTGATGACATTCCGCGCAGGCCACTCAACAGAGGATGCCCTGGTACTTATGCTAAATCGTATTCTTATTGCACGGGACAAGCGTTTGTGTACTGGCATATGCCTTCTAGATATGTCAAAGGCATTCGACAAGGTTCGCGGCTACTCCAGGACCTATTCGATATCGGCATAAGAGGGACAGCCCTAAAGTGGTTTTCCGCCTATCTGTCGGGCCGTACTCAGCGTATCTGTATTGGACGGGATCAGAATGCCATTTCTGCGCCATCCTGTGGCGTGCCACAAGGTTCTGTTCTAGGACCGATCCTTTTCAGTGTCTACACCCGCGAAGTTCCAACCATAGCTAACCAGTCTTCATCAGTTTAATTTGCCGACGACATCGCGCTGATCAGCAGCAGCACATCCCTGGACACGGTATCTGCTACGCTATCGGCCTTGGTTTCTGCACTTGCTGACTGGTTGCAGACCCGTGGTCTCATTTTGAATGCAGCCAAGAGCCACGTGATCCCTGTATACCCCAACCGGCAGCCTCAGCAGCCCCAGCATACGATCAATGTAAACTGTCATGAAACGCCGATTCCTGTCGTTACTGCGGCTAGGTATCTTGGAGTGCTCCTCGAATCGGATCTGTCATGGACGCCCCATGTTGATCGCTGGACCGCTCGACTGGCCCAGAGGATCGGAGCACTATGGAGGTTGCGTCGCTGCTTGACACATCAGAGCCGAGTTCTCTACTTTAAAACGATCATCATGTCTGACCTGATGTACGGATCCAATGCGTTTTCCCCGCTTCTTACTGCCAACCAATTAGTTCAGCTACAAGTCATGCAGAATCGGGCGGCAAGGGCGGATTTCGGCCTCTCGCATCACACCTCCGCGCGTACCCTCCTGCTGCAATTGGACCCCTACAGAGTATACGAGATATTCAGGCAGAAGTTCATCGTTCTGGTCTGGAGGTCTCGGAATGAGCACGCAAGTTCTGAACTGCAAGCCCTCCTAGTTCCTTCGTCAGCTGGCCCAACCAGGTTGCAACCACCATGGGTCTGCGCCAACCGCCAGTTTCCACCAGGTTCGGCAAGGGTTGCCTCGCGTTCCGGGGCGCCCAGCTGTGGAACACCTTACCCAGGGATATACGTGCCATCTCCACGCTCCGCCAGTTCCGCGCAAGCATGATCCCGCACACCCTTAGTACCTAGAGTACCAAACGTCCTGTTTGATTATCAGCTGGCTTAGTTTTTCTCCACCTCTATCCTAATTACATCAGTCCCCAATTTCATTTATTACTGCTTTCTATCTGCATTCGCCACCTTTTCATTGGGCAGATCTGCCCCTTTGGTTTGCGAATTAAAATAAACACAACAACAACAACAACAACAACAACGAAAGTAAGACCACTGTCATCCACTTTCACCACACCAACCGGCCACCTCCCAGACCACCATCAATCACACTTAACGATACCAACCTCACTGTGGCCTCAAGGCATCGCCACCTTGGCCTCCTCATACAGCAGAATCTATGCTGGAACTCGCATGTTGACTACATCATCACTAAAGCGACCAGGAAGATGTTCCTTCTCCTGCGACTACGCAATTCCTTAAACACTTCTGCTCTCTCCTCCATCTATCTAACCTACATCCGCCCTATTCTTGAGTATGCTTGCACTGTCCTCTCACCCCTCCCCGCAACCCTGAACGACCGGCTTGAGCGCATCCAACGGCGCGCTGCTCGCCTCTGTTTGCATCTCCCCCTCTTTGAACACAGAACCCACTCCGTGCTGCTGCACCGACTCAAATGGCCATCACTCAGCAGCCGCCGTACCCTCTCCCATATCCTTCTTGCACACAGCCTGCATCATAGATATGCACCACCACACCTTCTTGCAATTCACCTACCCCGAATACAACCCATTCGCACGCTCAGGTTCCCCGAACCTTTGAGCTACCCACAACACGTACAAACCGGCTAAGAGACTCCCCCATCTATGCTTCTCTTGATCTCTTTAATAGCATCCCACCCAGCATCCGGCAAATCAACCCCAGACGAGATTTCAAAGCAAACATCCTACCACTTGTCATCTCTTCCGTATGTACTTGCTCACATTGCTCAGCACATTTATAGCTCTATTGCGCCCAGCCTACGTGATTAACTCCCAATTAGTATTGCCATCGCTACTGCCTCAGCAAGCAGCTAAACCTTGATCTCTCTGTATCTGATCCCCGTGCCTGTAATTATTTTTCTCTTATTGGCCACAGGCCATCGTGAGAATAAAAGAATTCAAACACCAACAACAACAACAACAACAACAACAACAACAACACTTATTCGACACGATCCAGGGCAGTGCATATTTCTCAAAGTTGGACTTGCGGTCGGGTACAATCAAATCAGAATTCGAGACTTGGATGTTCTAAGACGTCCATTAATACGCCGTTCGGCCACTTCCAATTTAGAGTCATGGGATTCGGGCTGACTAATGCCGCGGCCACCTTTCAGTCACTCATGAACTCTATTCTGCAACCGCATCTCCGAAAATTCGTTGTAGTATTCTTGGATGACATTCTAGTTTTCAGCAAGACCTGGGAAGATCATCTGCATCATCTTCAAACAGTTCTAGAAACACTTAGAAATAGCGAGCTGTATTGCAAACAGTCTAAATGCGAATTCGGCGTGAGAGAAGTTCTCTTTTTGGGGCATAAAATCAACGGCACATCAATTTCCCCTGATCCCAAGAAGACAAGTGCTGTGGAAACATGGCCAACTCCGTCGTCAGTAACTGATGTGAGGAAGTTTCTTGGCTTTGCAAACTATTTCCGAAGGTTCATAGATCGACACTCGACCATCTCTCGTCCATTAGAAGAAATCACCGGAAAAAAATCACGCTTTGAATGGAGC